AATCGGCCCTTCGCTTTAGCGTCCGCAGAAGACGGAAATGAAGTCTCCGTTTGGAACCATTGGTAAGAAGCTCGGACAATCCAGGATTCATCACGGCTCGTCGGAAGGATTCCCTTCCGACGAGCTGGTTTCTATACCACCTCGTCGGAAAGGGAATACTTCCGACGAGCTGGTACATATACCAGCTCGTCGGAAGGGTTTCCTTCTGACGAGCTGGTATAGAAACCAGCTTGTCGGAAGTATTCCCTTCCGACGAGCCGGCATGAAATCTTGATTTCAACTCTTCTCAATGGTCCAAACGGAGACTCAATTCCCTCTTCTGCGGCCGCTAAAGCGAAGGGCCGATTTTGGTGCTACACCTGCGGCGAACAAGGACACCATTCACCCAAGTGTCCGACCAAGTCAAACAAGAAACAAGGCAAGGCTTCCGCAAACGCAGCTGAAGCGCGCACAGGTGCAACCTCTGTAGTCACATATGGAAATTACGAATCTCAGGAAGAGGATGATAGCTTTGATGAAGAAATTGATGTCTGGGGGTGAAGGATCTGGGAGTTTCGACAAATTTTTATTCATAGTACACACAACTCTGGTGCAAGCTTAAGGTTAATTTTTATTGTCTGCTTGATTTGAGTACAGATTCTGTTGTGGTTTCTCCCTTCTCCCTGCATACGTAGAATCTCTGGCCTGGTTCAAACCTTTTTCTTTCTGTTCCCTCAAGAGATTTTTTTTACTTACTAGATAGTCCAAATAGTAAATTTTTTTTATCTCTGCATTTAACCTAGTTAGTTTTGTTTTCAGCAAGGGGGGATGTTAAGATGCTTATAGCACAATATGCTTCTATCAAAACCAATGTTGTATTTAGTTCAAGTTGGTTCTGATTCTCATCCTTTTTCCTCATTGAATACAAACCAACTTTCTCTTTGTGTCCAGTCAACTGTCACAAGACATCTGTCTGTGACTTTAAGTTTCCTCAGCCTGGTCCACCTCAACACTTCTGACTCTCTCCAGTCATCAAAGAGTATCTTCAGTTCCCAACTTGTTGGTAGTTTCACCTTGATTCTCTTTGCTCATTGAAAGGAATTAGTTAATGAATTAGTCCTACTATAGTCTTGTTGTTCTAGTAGCTGATTGTATCTTCTATCTTTGTGTTCCTCTTAGTATTGTCCTGTTTGCCCTTAGGTCAGGATTTCTTCTTTCCTCACGTCTTGTATTTCTTTCTCAGGCTTTTTGACTTATCAGAAATACACCCTTAGTTTGATAATTCACAATCCTGTGGTTAAACTTAGTTGAAAAAACTATCACACAGCCAATTTTCATGAACCTAGATTGTGTGCCAAAACAAAAATTTAAAATGCACAGGAAACTCTTGCTCAGAAAATTGATTTTGCATAAACAGCCTTCTTATGACCTGGTAGGGCTTTTTTAGTATTAAAATTTGATTTTTGTTCAACTCTGAAGATGGTCTCCTGGAGCCTTGAATATTTTATAAGGAGGTGAGAGCCCCCTCTACCAACCAAAAGACTCAAACTCTGAAAATCTCACATTATTTAGAAAGGTCAGGTCCAGGTGCACAAAGTGTGCATTGATAAATGCACTCCCTCCCCCTTCCCGCCCGCCCACGCCCCCGCCCCTCCAAAAGGGGTGTACAATCCCACCCACCTGTCTCTGAGGGGTGAGTTTTGCTACACGCCCCTCTGTTTGCTGAGATTTGCAACAAGAGGGGTGTGCAGTACAACCCGCCCAAAAAAGGGCGGGTTGGCCTGCACACCTGGTCTGGAGGGCCTGCAACTGTTTAGTATTGGTACTGGGAGAATAGGCGCTACACATTCCCTATAAGCAGGTGAAGTATCTGCTTGTGCCGTAGTATATATTTCTTCTCTGGCAAGCAGGCTCTTGACCTCCTGCTTGAGAAGGAGTCTTGCCCAGCAAGGCGGTAGTGCTAAGCCTTCTTGACAAGTCCTGCTCCCCAGCTAGAGGTCGCAGCACTAGGTCTGCTAAGCAAGTCTTTCCCCCCAGCTGTAAGGTGTCCTATCTACTTGTGCAGGAGGTTTCATCTTGGACAAGTAGGTATAGTACATAGCTGCTTGTCGAGCAATCAAGCCGTTGACATCTTTGCTGAGGGGTTTTGCTCCATGGAATATGTCATGCATCAAGTCTTGAAGAGGAGCTCTTTCTCAGCAAGCTCACCATTGGCAAGCGGATGGGGTACTATCTACTTGTCGAGGGGTTTTGCTCCCCGAAAAATAGGTACACCCTTGTCTTGCAAAGCCGAAGGAGGCACTAAATCAGCAGTGCCGGGTATTCACATCCGGTGAGCAGTTGTAGTTGTCTGTTTGCTCTCCGGCAAGCAGCAGTTGGCTTGTTGAGAGAGATTCTTGACCAATGAGGCTGCTTCCATCGGGGAGGTTTCCTCACCCAATCATATGTGTGGCACCTACTTGTCAAGGTGGACCCACTGTACCTGGTGCTTGGAACTTGGAAGGCACTCTTCAGGGCATTCAGACACCTAACAAACTGGAAAAGCAGTATTCCTGAAGCTGTTACCTTATAAATTATTTTCACCTGTTACACTATATGACCCTAACATCTGCTGCTATCCCTCCCTGCCATCAAGACTTGTACAGTCTCAATGGCTGGGAGGGATTCCTCCTGGTCTTCAAGACTTTCACAGTCTCGAAGACCAGGCGGAATCCCTCCTGGATATCAATACTGTACAAGTCTCAATAGCCGGGAGGGATTCCTCCTGGTCTTCAAGACTGTACAAGTCTTGAAGACCAGGAGGAAGTAGTGTTTCTCTTTCTCCTCTTTTTCTCTCTCTGCTTCATACCTGTTTCAGACCTGTCACCCACCTGTCACAGGATTCAGACTATACCTGGGCCAGAGTACGTGGAAGGATTCACTCTCCTCATCCTTCCACAAAACCTTTTCTCTGACCCAGG